CCTTCCTACATGACTAAAGACAGCACTGCTTTTAGGAATTTTGAGAAAGTGAGTTAATAATGTCCTTTCCATTTAAGCCGGTTAGAGAGTTTTCTGTCCTTGTATCTTAACTAATTGAACTTTTCCCTCCTGAGTGTGTCTATTAATTCATCTATCTATCTATCTATTAAAAATCAGATAACAGAGCAAAGTATGAAAGACAAATTAACAATTATCTAAGCCTGTCACCAGGTTACTATTTTGTTGAATATATTGTGTAAAGATACAATACAATGAGATATTTTCTATTTTCTAATGTATTCATATAACTCTATCAATGTCATATACTGCACTACTCATATAATCTATTTTTATGCATGATATGAATATACACTATTATACAAATATAATTTTATAATTCAATCATTATGTAGTAATGACATTCTAATTATCTAATATGAATCTATCTAGTATCTACATATCTAATACTTAAATCTAATATCTAACACATAAATATCAAATATGACATTCTAATTATCTAATAGTGACATTCAATGTACTCTTGGGAATATTCTAATTATACTCTGTGATATGGTATAATTTAGTGTTTTTCATCTGATATTGTCACATAACAGTGTAATAGACAATGACTTCATAGCAGAGGGTGTGTTTATTGTTGACAAAGAGTGGTCAGAGATATTTTTCAAATTATGTGACTTTTAAGCTAGAACATGAATTGATAGAAAGGAGCCTGACACAAGAAAATCTGGGGGAAGAGCCTTCCAGGAAGAGGAAATAGCTACTACAAGTGTCTTAAGGCAAGAAATAGGTTGGTATATTCAGAAACTAAAGGGACGCTGATATGGCTGAATTTCCTGCCTAGAAGAGGCAAGTTGAAGCAAAGGAAGAAGTTATCGGACATGAAGTCAGAGTTGCCTAAGCCATGGAAAGAAACTTGAATTTTTTCTTACTTCAGTGGACAGAGCTTTAAGCAACAGAGGTGATAGAATTGCTTTGCATTTTTGAAGTATCACTTTGGCTTCACTGTGGAGACTTCATAACCACTTCACATTACTTCTGTCCAATTCACATCAGGTTTATTTCTAATAATTAAATTTAGTGTTACTGTTGTTACTGTGTTGCTGCTGCTGTTTCTTGTATAAATGTGACATTTTTCTCATTGTAGTTACTAAGTAGTTATTGTTTACATGAAATTATAGTTATTAAAATAATTTTTCATTTTACTCTGTTCTTTTATTGATTCTGAGACATCTTCAGGTGGTATTTTTAGACTTCAGGTATAATTTTGCATTATCTGCAAATAGTAATTATTTTTCCTTTTACTTTCTGACATCTGTGGTTATTATTCTGTCCCTTGATTGAATGCATTGTCTGACACTTCTACAGGAACGTGAAGTACTAGCTCTCACAAACTTCCTTGCTTTGTTCCCTACTTAAAAGCAATACTCTTTGTCACAGACTGCTAGTTATTCCACAAACCCTCCTTCAGTACTAGAACACTTGATGTTTAGCTGGGTGCATAAATGACCAGACTACATTTCCCAGCTTCTTTTGCAACTCCACTTGGCCACGTGACTGAGTTCTAATGAGTTCTGAGTTGAGATGTGCCATTTCCAAATTTTGCCTTTTAAAGGAATAGGTGTCTGTTCCCATTTTTGTTTATATCATCTGGTAAATTTCAGTCAAAAATTTTTACTTTCAACTTTTCTGAGTCACATTGTTTTGGAAGTTTTGTGTTTGTTTGTATAAATATAATGCTATTGGTTATTATCATTAATTTGTCCATGAGTCTTCTCATTAAATGGGGAGCTGATTGGACTTACATACTTGTTCTCGTTCGTCATCACATTATGTTTTTTTTCTCTGATTTTATTTAGCCTGTTTTGTTTCTTTTCCTGTCTGAGGAATACCAAAGATATCAACTAATTTTTATTCTGCTAAGTTTTTGTTTCATATTTTTAAAATGCACATTCAATTTAAAATTTTCAAATGTTACTTTTAGAGCCACAAGAGTTTCTTTAAATTCTTCTCTATGAAATATTAACAGCCACATCTGATGCTTGAAATCTTCCTTGTATTTTCTCCGGGATTTATAAAACTCCCACAACCACCTTGTGAGACAGGAACACATTTTATCTCCAATTTTCAGGGCACAAAGCTGAAGTTGAGAAAAGTCAAACATTGAGCCAGGGTCACATAAATATTTCTTGTTAAAGCTACATTCAAAATAAGTTTTGGCTGATTCTGAAGGCCAAAGTTACAATAAGCTAAAGTGAATAAATGATTACTTCTTCCCAAATTCAGTCCCACAGTGAGTAAGCCTAATTCCAAAACAGTGATCCTAACTTCGGATGTTTTCATATTTTTATGAAAATATGTTTTTATGAATACATCTACATATTTATAAAATCTCTTCATTTCCTGTGTTGTTTTAATGTTTCCCAAGACTATACTTTAAATTACTGACTAAATTTGTTATAGGGTTGATTATGTTCCTTATTTTTTCCTATTGATTTTAGAGTTATTTTTTAGTTTCTCCAATTGTTAAATATCTGTGGTCATTTTTGTTCTTCAGCCACTACTGCAGAACGTGGCAAAAAATACTACTTAGCTAGCTGTTTTTGCTTGCTGTATTCCTGTTCTCTTCCCTTCCACGTTACAGAGCATTTTACATATTGGTCCTATCTTGTTATTATCTGTTTTTCTTCTCATTTATTTTGAATTGGGGCCATGGATTATCCCCACTGCCAAAAATAGATGAATACATTTTCGTTGATATCTCTGTTCTAGGAAAATTTTTGACTTCACCCTCTCTCCACTTTGAACAGTGGTTCTCAAACATGGATGTGAAAAAGTGCAGAGCATCAATCACCCCTCCAGACCTACTAAAGAAATCTTCCGGCCGGGCACGGTGGCTCAAGCCTGTAATCCCAGCACTTTGGGAGGCCGAGGCGGGTGGATCACGAGGTCAGGAGATCGAGACCATCCTGGCTAACATGGTGAAACCCTGTCTCTACTAAAAATACAAAAAACTAGCCGGGCGTGGTGGCGGGCGCCTGTAGTCCCAGCTACTCGGAGGCTGAGGCGGGAGAATGGCGTGAACCCGGGAGATGGAGCTTGCAGTGAGCCGAGATCAGGCCACTGACCTCCAGCCTGGGTGACAGAGTGAGACTCCGTCTCAAAAAAAAAAAAAAAAAGAAATCTTCCAGTTGCAGTTTCAGAATCTGTCTTTTTTAGCCCAACTTCCAGAACTGGTCTGCATTTTTTTTTTGAACCAATGCCTTGAAACATGCACTGAACAATTTGCACATTTATTATTTCTATTCTTTGTTCAGACATTTAGCTCCTTTATGGGAACAGGGGGCTTGGGGGACAGTGAGGAGATATCTGGGGCTGTGAGTAGTTGCAGTCAGGAAGTTTTTTTCTTCAGTTGTTGGTCTGTTTCTTAGTTACTTAGTTTGATACTCTCATCTGTTGGTGAAGAACAGCCTTTTTGTGTTTCAGTTTACTCCCTCTCAAAGTGAGAAATTCATTTTCATAAAAAGTCCAAGGTTGTTGAGGTTTTTGTTCTGTTTGAATCTATGTATTTTTCTGTGCAGAAGGCTGTGGCTCTGATTCTCAAGAGATTGCTTCTACTTCTCTCTGACATTCTGTCTGGTTACAAGGAGGGTAAACTTCAGGTTGGCAGGTAGTTAGGTAGGCAATCACATAGGTTGTGTGGCTTTGCATCTCGTCCAGCATTTAGTTTCTCAGGAATGCTCATCTGTAGTGGAGAAACAAGCTCCACACAGTGCAGCCTACACTTCCTCCAGATCTGCTGAAGTCTAATTTCCTTGCTTCTTCAAATTGGAAGATCTGGACCAAGGTAATGATAGGGGTTACATAAAGATTTTTGAGTCTTCTTTAAATCTGGGCCAAATTATACTGGATCTGAATCATACCTCAAGAATTATATTGAGTAAGAGTCAGTTTTGTTTCAAGTTTCAGCATTGATGAATTATTTCTGTTCATTTTGGTTAGTCACAGGGTGAGAGGTTTTATAAGCCCACACTATTTCCGCTTGCTTTCCCATAGCTTATTCAGTGTATTGAAAAATTTTCAGGAAACAACAGCAAAACCCTACATAATATTCCTTGTTGAATATCAAATTTCTGTGTTTGACTTTCCATTGGAATAATTCAGGAATCTCTACATAAGACAATGCTTGAGGGTAAAAGATGAGTGAATGAGGAGATCTTTGTGAAATTGAGATGACTGACATCAGCTCTGAAGCCATACAGTCATTAATAGTAAGTTTCTGCTCTGCCATTTACAGGTGCTGTAATCTGAATTGATCTTTCAACTTGTTCAAAATTCAGTTTTCTTTTAACTTTGTAAAATAAAAATAACCCTTGTTACTACATGTTGTGACATTTTTAATGCAGATTAAATGTGATAATATAAATCTGAAGTATTGAACACTGTACCTGGCATAGAATGAGCTCATTATAATATCAGTCTCCTTATTCTTTCCCTTGTTTAACCATCAGTGGTGAGAAACAGCTGTTGATTTGCCAAAATATATGCATAATTTTATAAATGAAAACATCCGAAATCTCTTTGGGTGGCCTATTAAGGAATGAGCTACAGGGTTTTTCACCTTTATTACTACTGACATTTTGAGACAGATAGTTCTTTGGGTTTTTTGAGGGAGTGCCATCTTGCTGAATTTAGAACGGTTAGCAGCATTCCTAGTTTCTATTCAATAGATGCCGATAGCACCAAGAGCCACCCCAGTTGTGACAACCAAAAATATTTCCAGACTGCAAAATGTCTTCTTGGGATGGGGTGCAAAATCACCCCCAATTTGAGCACTACTGAGCTAGAGAAATGAAAAGGACATTGTGTTGGAAGAGGGTAGGGACTTAAACTTTGAAATGTTGTTCATAGCCTGTAAGAGGCCCACCTTAGCTGTTTCTCCCATTGGGTGAACTAGGCTTTTTGTGCCTAGGTGTCAGTGAATGGATGTCAGAGCAGAAGGTAGGAGACAGGAGAAGAGTTTTCTCTATTCAGAAGGAATGGAAAAGATGCAGGGCAGTGTCAGAAGGTTTCAGATCTCTCGTGAACAAAGGCAAAACTTCTGTGTTCAAGACCGGAAACACATTTCTCAGCCAAGGGAAGAGGCTAATTGAGAGGAATGATCGTGGCTCTTCTTCATTTTCTTAGTAAGCTCCTGAAGGTGGCAAGACTGCAGAAAAGCAATGCATTTAATACCTCAGGGACTTGGTGGTGCCTGAAATTGAACATGGAGGCACTGGGATGATTTCACTGTGCCTCAGAAGTTATTAAATTGGGTCAGGCAAGTCTGCACTCTGGCTTCCCACGTGCAGGTGCAAGCAGTGGCCCCAGTGGGGATCCGAGGGCAGTTCCCTGGCTGGTGGGGTAATGTTCCAGGCAGGAATACAGCTGCCTCTGCTGCACAAAAAAATCTGCCTGAAAAGTGGGAGACAGCAGGTTGCAATAAGCCCCACTCAGCTCCCACACGCTTGGCAAGTCAGTTTTCATACCCACAGTGTTCAGCTAACTGGGTTTCAAGTGGCCTGTGCTCAGCATTTAAAACTGTCCCAGGCCGTAAGCTTTCCCTATGGACACAGAAACCATATCTTTCAGGCCGCATCCTTTCCAGTCCACCTGTAAAGCAGGGCCATGAAGCTCATGTGCCTGTTGCCATAGCACACTTCTCACTTGCCCCTCGGTTCTGCCCAATCAGCTTTGTCCTTACTAAGGATTATATCACAAATCCCAATTGGGCACTTTTCTCAACCTGTGACTGCAGCCTGAGTTAGACTTCTGCAATGTTCCCTGTGAGGTGGGATCAGGAATGGCTTCCCTCCATTCCTGCTGGAATCTGGGAGTGCACACAAAGCATGTCCTGATGTTACTCCTTCTTATATGTTCCTTACTTTTCACTGAATCACGTCTAGAGCTGAGTAGGTTTGAAGTCTTCCCTCATGACTTGTATTGCCTGGCTCCCCTGTGGGAGTATAAGTCATGACAGCAATCTGTCCCTCTCTCATGCTCTGGGGACTAACGGTTTTCCGTCTGTTTTATGATGTAGTCCGTTGCCTGCCACTTCATTCAAAGGGTCTGTGGTTTCTTTCAGTTCTTATGTTAAGTTCTTATGTTGTTTCTTAGGAATAAATTTTACAGCATGAATCTCTACACGCAATTTTGTCTTACTAAGCGGGATAAGTATCCTTATAATGCTTCCAATCTGTCATCTTGGAAAAAAAAGAAGAAAATCTATAAATATTTTGACTATAATGTGCTATGGAGGAGACCTTTTCCCATTGTATCTGTTTAGGAATTGATGGGCCTCCTGTATCTCAATGTCCAAGTGTCTTGCTCAACTTAGGAAGTGTCATCTATTATTTCAATAAATAGGTCTTTGAAAACATGTTTTCTCTCTTTGCCTTCTGGGCTCTCAGTGATTTTTATATTTGGTCACTTTATGTTGTTAGATGTATTCCAAAGGTTTCTTTTATTATTTCCTTTTTTTTCTTTATTTTTGTCTGACAGTGTTATTTCAAAAAAAAAAAAACTGTCTTCAAGCAAAATGTGATCTTAAAATAAGTCAGTTATGATTGAGTATATTGTTGAAGTTTTCATTTGTATTTTCAGTTTATTCACTGCATTATTTGGCTCCAGAATTTTTGTTTGTTTCTTTTTTATGATATCTATCTCTTTGGTAAAGACAGGGTGGCAGTGGCCAGGCTGCTGCCCTGCCACTGGGTGTTGGATGCCACTTTCAGTGATGGCAGTCTAGGCCAGTGGGTGAAAAACACATGTGCCACATGTGCCTTAGCCCCAGTGGTGCTCACACCTCAGCCTCAGGTGTGATAGCCCATGAATGCTCACGTCTAAGCTCAGGTTAGCAGCCAGCTCTTCTTTGGCATCTCATCCTCCGTGTTGCTTGGCTCCGAGACAGTGTGCAGTCTGTTGGGGGTGAGGCTCTAAAGTGCTATCTTGCCCAGCCCCCCGTTCATGTCTTTCCCTCGGTTGCAGTAGCCTGTGGTCACTGGTGTCTGAATCTCCAGGGAAACATCAGACACTTAGTTTGCACCTAGGCGTCAATGCCACTGGGCTCCAGGACAGTATGTAGTTCATCAGGGGTGAGGCTCTGCAGTGGTGCCTCACTTGTGCCTCAGTCCTAAAAGCAGCAGCCCACGCCTTGCCCCCACCTCTGCACCAGATGCCGTAGTCTATAGTCACTGGTGCCTATGTCCCTGGGTCAGCAGTTTGTGCTTCTCTTGCACCTCAGCCCTGGACTACTGGGCTCCAGGGCAGTGCTCAGTCTGTTGAGGGCAGGGCTCTAAAATGGTACTTTGTTGTAGTTGCTTAAGTCTCAAGAAGAGTGAGGGACCCAGCTTGAGCACTCACCCTGAGGCAGTGCCATCATACAATCTCCTGGCAGCTATCTATGTTAGTTTCAGGGCCCATGACGGTTGAGGGGATATCCTGTGGTTGGGATTGTAGGAGTCTACGGTGAGAATATGGACCACTGAGGCTCTCTCACCTTTCCTTTCCCTGTATTTTGGAGTCTCTCTCAGCTCACAGCTGATCCTGGATGAGCAGGCTGCCTTGCTTCCCTCTCCATCTCTGCTCTGAGTATTGCCTATCACTTTTCTAATGAATTCCAGTGATTTCCTTTGAATTATGTATTCAAAGTGTGATTATTGACTCACTGTTTGGTTCTTTTTAATGGAGAAAGTGAGTACAAAATGCCTCCAGTCTGCCACATTCATGATTTCCAAGAAATAATTTTTAAAGGTTTTTAAATACTTTATGTAATTATAATGATTATGGGCATAAGAAGAAGAATTATGGAGAAGAATGGAGCGAAATAAAAGCTTCATTCCCCCTGCTATGATATTTGATTATATCTTGAGGTCAAATTGATCTTTGCTGCCTTGGCTGCCTGCTCTGGCTACAGCTAATCCTGGGCAGGCTTTGCAGCTCCTACCACTTCCAGGCCTACAGCTGCAATCCCAAGCTTGCTCACCAAAACAAGTGTTTATTCATTGTATCTTCAGTAGATTTTATCTTATAAATATGAATTGTTTATATGCATTTCTAATATATCAAATGCTTTACTAGCTTTTTAATATCTTTATATCCATTTTCCCTGGATCATTAATTACTGTTCTTAACTCAGTTGTTCTTAACTGGAAGAGATTTTGCCACCTAGGGGATACTTGGCAATATCTAGAGATATCGTCGGTTGTCATAATTGGTGGCAGCAGGGAATGCTACTGGCATTTAATAAGCAGAGACAGAGATGCTTCTAAGCATCTTATTGGACAAAGGACGACCTCACACAAGAAAGAATTATACTGCCTAAAATGTGATGGTGCTGACAGTGAGAAACCCTGAGTTTAACATAATGTGCTCAGAACTCTAAAAATGATTCACTTTCTCAAATATTTGCTGCATTTTTTCCTTCTGGTCAGAATGTGCACATTGGAAATTCTTCCTGAAGCATTTGTGTGAGCAGAACCTATTCTATAGCTGTTAAACGATTGGCAGGGAGGTTGATAGATGGAGGTGAAGTCAGCCAAAACTTAACTGATGTTTAACAGCCAGGAAATACCCAACCTGGAAAGTATTCATTCATAGCATCAGAAACCACTAAAGAAAAATGATATTTTACCTCTGAGAAAGTTAACAGCAAAAGTATAGTCTTTCTAATTAGTTTTTAGCTTGCAATCTAAATAAATGATAAGTACAGAATAACAATCAGGTCACAAACTATCATTTAATTTTAAGAACTATTTTCATAAGACTATTGACATAAAAGTAATTTAAGAAAGTGAAAGTTACATTTAGCACAGGATTTTGCATTTTTCAAAAGTATATGATATTGGAAAACCATATAACTACATATTTTTTGAATTTGTTCTATGTAGCAAACTTTGCCCAGATCTCTTTAAGAACATTTCATAAATTTGGCATCATTACTAACTTCCCCATGTTAAGAAGATTTTCATAGAAGCAATATTTTCTTGTGTCTCTAAATGGGAGAGAGTGCTTCTCCCCACTAAATTACCATATTAAAGTGGACTGTTCAGCATTTATTTTCTTCAACCATTCTGTCTAAAATTCAGCCTGATGTAATAGCAGGAGTCCTCCTGCGAAGTTGGTCAATGGGTAGTTATGCTTTTGTGTGTTTTTCACATCAAAAAACCCCACAAGAACAAAAACAAAACAAACACAAAAGTGCTCAGTAAATATTTAATAAATAAATTGTTTTATTCAAGGGGATTGAGAATGGACTTTGTTCCACTGCTTATTTTTTTCTGTATTTTCAACATCTGCCTTTCTACTGGCTAATTAACCAGTAGAAAATTTAATGCTGTGCAGCTATTAAAATTATATTACAAATTATAATTATTAAGATAAACTTAACAGTTACACTATTATAGCTGTTAAGTTATAAACTTATATTAACCATGGTTTATAAATATGTTTAATATTAAATAAAAATTTAAGAAAGAGGAGGCATCAGGAACCACTTTAAAGGTGAACTGTAAAAAATAATGTGATAATAACTTCACTCTGCTTTTCCTTCTCACTTCTTTTCTTGTCTCTCCTTTTCTTTCCACTTAAGCCTCACAAGAGTGAAGCTTCTTGTCTTTCTCTTCTTACTTACCAATCACTCTTCCTTCAACCTGGTGCCCTATAGACACCTATCTCTGCAACTCAACTAAAGCTGTACTTTGCAAGACCATCAAAGACATTTTAATTATCAAATCCAAAGGTTCCTTTTGGATCTTTCAGGTCTCCAAACAAATTGCATCTTCTTGAAGAGGAATTTCCTGACCACCTGAGTTAAATCTCATGACATTCTCAAATATATTACCATATTTTACATTCTTGATAGCCCCTAGTACTTGATGAAAAAACTGCCTATCAGTTATTATACATATTACCCGGGTGATGAAATAATCTGTACACCAAACCCCCATGACACAGAGTTTACCTAGATAACAAACCTGCACATGTACCCTTGAACCTAAAAGTCAAAAAATAAGAAATCAACTGTAGATATTTGCTTATGTGTTTATTTTCTTTCTGCTCCCACTAGAACGAAAGATTATTGAGGGAAGGGACTCAGCCTTGTCCACCAGATCCTAAATGATACTTAGTAGACACATATTAAGCATTCAAGTAATATCTGTTTACTGACTGGGACTGATCAATTTACCTCTTACATGACCTCTCTGGAACATTTGTCAGTGACAACAGTTTGCTTCTAGATGCCCCCTTCATGGCTTTTGAAATAGTACCCTTCCTTTTCAGTCTCTTTTGCTAACTTTCCAATATGATGTGATCTGTTTGAGAAAAGGGACTGCTATTAGCATATTTGCTGGCACGTGAAGGACTCTCAAAACACTCATAAAACATCCTTCTATTTGGGCTTCAGTATGAAAGATCTTAACTGACCTGTGTGTTTAAAATGACGTGTATTGAAAGAAGTATTATTTTTGGGCCACGAAGATGCGTAAATATTTCTACTGTGATAATTAGGTATTGAGAAACTTGGAAGTGTATGAATAGATAAATTGCTTAGTACTATGAACTGCAGTGTTTTGGTACTTGGTCGGTACCATTACTTGATTGAATGCTGTGCAGCTGTTAAAATTATATTACAAATTATAATTATTAAGATAAACTTAAATTATTTGTTATAAGTTAACAAGGCATGACACAATATTGTGCATAGAATATAAGTACAACTTTATAAAACATATGCAACAATGAAAACTAGCAAGGAATGAAACTTGCTAAGTTTTTGTTTCAATGATTTTGTTTCATTGTTTCAATGAAACAATGAAAACTATAACAGAGACTGTAATAGTAGCTGAGTCATTTTATGGAATTTCAGATGTTTGTTCTTTTCCAAATTCTCTGTAGCCTTTTAATTTTCGTATGTTTTAAAAACAATTCAAAGCTGAATACACTTTAAGCATCCTGTAAAACTTGGAATGAACTTGTGTTGAAATGTCAAAAGAGGTTAGTGGTAGGTGTTGTCATGTTTGTTCAAGAAAGAGAGGTTAGTGATGGTGGTGGCATCTTTGTTCAAGAAAGAAATATGTCCCCTATTATCCATGGCCTTTGTGATTTCCTTTGTGTTTAATGTATTCCACAAGTAGATTCTCCTCTCAAGGTATCGCACCCTGGAAATATAAATAAAGACTTAAATTACTCCCATGAAAGTGACTTCTTCTAGCTTACACAATGAATCACTGGCAGACCTGGGAATGAAACCCCTCAATTTACACTCTTAGACTTCATAAACATCCCTAAAACACTTCATCTCTCCTACATTGTTAGCTATATAATGAAGAGTTCTACATTTATTAGACTATAAGTCTTATGTTTTCCCTTTGATTGCTATCGCTCTAGGTGGCAACAAAAGTTATTCTAACTTCATTTATAAGAGCCAGGTTTGTTTGACACACACATTGTGGAGTTTACTAAATTATTGCTTCTTCTCTCTCATTTATAATTTTGAGAATAATCTATGTTCTTGAAATTTATTGCTCCTGCATTTGCAGAGGCATAGAGAAATGTGGCAATTTATTCATACAAAGCTTTATCATGGAAATGAATGACAGTAAGTCTCTGGTTCACAAGATGATTAGAGTAACAGAAAACACACAAATTCCAGCTTTATCCATACAACAGTTTTCAAGGCTATGTAGTTAGAAAAATATGATTGGAGGGTTGATCTGAGTTTAATGTATGAATTCACAGCCTCTGCAGGCTGTCCCTTACTCTAGAGGAGTGAGGCCATCAACCTGCGATGTAGAAGCTACTAGGCCGGAGTACTT